CTCTCTCTTTTGGACCAGCCACATTTCAGGGACTCAATATAACATAGATCTAGAAGTTGCATTGTTTAAACTGTCACATCTAGATTAACATTTAGAAACTGAGATTAGAATCAAGATGTATTTTTTTCCATATGGATATTTAAATGCACAGCCTTTCCTTAAAGTATTAACATTGTCGTAAATCAAGGGTCCAAACAATGTGCAGGTTTATTTTTAGCATCTCTATGTAATTGTACTGGTTTACTGAGCCTTTGGCCTCAGTACTTTTTTTAAAGTTCCTTAGTTGATTCTTATTTTCAGCTAGTTTTGAGAACCACTGCCGGTGGTTCACAAAACTAATTAGTAGGTCATGGCCAGAAATTGTACAGAGTGGAGTGGAATGGAGTGGTCAAGAAAACATCAATATGTAATCAAGTTTTGTTCTGTAACACTTTTCCTTCAATTAATGGGTGTGTATATGTGTATGTCCTAAGTCAAGATTTAAAAAGTATTTCTTATCATCATTGACAGTCAAAAAAAAATTGAAAACCACTGCAAGAGCATAATCTGTAAAACAATTAGTTCAGAAAATCAAACTTGTATATCCTTTTACAATCATCATCTAGAAATGCTCAAAGTCTTACTCTTACACAACTGGTTATAGGCAACAAATCCACATAACGTTAATGTCCACTGGGAACAAGTCAGGGAAAACCAGTTACAGCTAACGGAACAGGAGGAATTCATTAGGACACCTTGCATGTTTGACCCGAAGTAGAATATGCTAATGAGCCTGGAGGTGAACATTGCAAATGAAAATTGCTATTCTGCACAATTTGAGATTTGTTCAGCATCAGGGTATTTTATGTTTTTAAAGTCTTAACTGGATGTCAAACAAGAAAACAAAGTTTGAGGGGAAGAAGTTGAAGCCAATTTAGTTACTAAATGATGTCAAGTATTCTTCATTACGGGAGAAAATGCTTGCAAAATTTTTGCTTCAATCTTGAAATGATTACTTTATTATTCAACTTGCGTCAGGATCAATCTAATCAACAAGTATTTATTGGTTATCTGCTAAAATATGTATGGGAAAGGAACCAAAATAATTTCAGCTCTGCTCTTGCACACAAGTACTCTGTAGAGAATAAACAGATTATGGCATATGACTTTTCCTCACTAAGTACTTCATTTTAGAACATGGATATGGTAAATAAAAATTATTTCAAGCCCCTTAATGTAATATTTTATCTCTTCAACTAACCTAAATATATACTGTAGCTGTGAATTTTGCAGTTTTCCCATTAGTGGGAAATGTATTGGTGATCATTTTGTAATATATACAAATAGTGTATCATTATGTTGTACACCTGAAATTAATATAATGTTATATGTCATTATGTCTCAATTAAAACATAAGCTAGAGAACTCCTTCCGGGTCTCCCTTCTCTAGTCTCATGATTCGGAAGACACAGCTAAAAGATGGAAGAAGACAGTGCAATCCATGACAGGAGAAGAAATAAACCCTGGTTGCACACACACGCACACACACACACACACACACACACACACACACACACACACATACAAACATACGCACAAATCTTTTGGTTTTGTTTTTATACTGTGCATGTGCTCATGAATGTGTGTGTGTGTATGTACCAATCCTGAGCAGGGAGATTTGGAAATTTTGGTTAAATATCTTAGTTTCCTGGTATTTCCTGAAGATGTAATTCAGAAAATAATAAAAAGGAAACTTTCCATTGAATTGGAACTTCAGTAACCAAACACCAGCTGTGCATTAAGCCTCTGGTCTATTTAGTTTACTCTCATTAAGAACACAGCACAAACCCTCCCCACAGACTTGCCAGTTACCAGGTAGGCAAAAAAATAAAGAAGAAATAATTATTAAAACAAACCAAAACCTTTATATTTGAGCAGCAGGTAGACACTCACAGCCTGAGAAATTTTAAATTCTCACACTTGAGAAAAATTAAATTTGTGTCATGGTCACACAAGACAAATTCCCTTGCCACTAGAGCTACCATCTATCTGTTAATGGGTTTCCTCAGATCTTAAGGGATGATAATAATGAAAGTTGAAAAAAACTGTTTAAAGAATATAGTGATTGCTGAAGTTCATTTACAGTTAAACACCTGTCCACCAGCCACAGAAAGCCCTGTGGAGAATCTTGGCTGTTACAGTGTTGTACAAGGCTGAAGATTCTTAATATCTCTGTTCGCTTGCCATCTGAGATTTTTATACCTAAGCCCTAATTGATTTTAATTAGGCTTTTAGCTTAGTTTTATGTTTCATCTTTTAAAACCCCTGCACAAGACACAATCTTAAGACAATATATATAGCTTGACCCATAGAAAGAGGAGATTGATTTCTGCATAGGGCTTGGGAAAATAAATCCTGCTACTTTAGAATGCCTTCTTTCACAGTGACAATTGTCTCATCTGTCTAGAGCTGACACAAAGATTTCTTCAATCATTCTGGGTCCACCAACTAAATAAAAAAAACTTCACTAAGAACACCAACTAATAAAACAAGCAGTGGAAGACTCATAAGGACAGTGAATCAGGTGTGCCGTAGTTTCCAAGAAAAGGAAGAATACAATTGCATTTTATTCCAGAGAGGGCTTCCCTGTGTTCCTCTCCTACCTCTCTGCGGTCATCTGCAGGCCGTCACGAATCAGAGTTAGGGATGGATTACTGAGACATCATTCTTAATGCCACCTGGTGAACTTGAGTCCAGGCTTTTCTCCAGGAGTAAGTCAATCATTCTTGTCTCAAATCCATTTTATAAAGGTGTGTTATCTCCAGTTCAATCTTTGTAGTACATCCCTAAATTCACAATTCAGGCCTTGGCAACCCCTACACATGGCTGCTGTGTAGATGGCCTGGGCCCAAGGTAAATGAGTGGTTGTCAGGCTACACTCTGTTCCATGAGCTCCTTGCCAGATCCTCCTCCCATGCGTACCCTGCCAGCAGTGCTTCTGCTATGGTTTTGGGGACCGAGGAAAAAATTCAGATGACCTGTGTGTGTGTGTATAGGAATGTGCATATAAAAACATATCTTTCCTGTCCTTTAAGTCTCCAGTGCTTAGCACAACAAACTGACTTTTGAAAAACAAGTCTCCGATGTTCTTGCTTTTTACCTAATTCCACTATGCTTTTGAGGGACTCAGCAGAGGATATTCACTACCTTGCTTCAGAGGCTATATAGCAAAGCTGGATCACTCTACCATGAAGGATCTCAATAACCACAGTTACACTGTGATATAATAAACAGACACCAGTCAGTTCAGAGAGGATGGGGTCTTGTCTCCCCCGTTCACTGAATACAGCCCTGTGCCTAGAATAGGATCTAGCACCCAGAAGCATCACCAAATAATTGGAGAAATGAATACTATTTATCAAGTGAACTTACGTATCAAAAGCCAACCATGTGTCATCATGCAGAAGGCACTTTGCACACCTGGCCTTCTAGTTCTTATGACAAACAGCCCTGTGTGATGGACATTATAGTAAAAAGCATGTAAGGAAGGAAACCGAGGTTTGAAGAATGTCACTGACTTGCCTAGGTCACATAATTAGTAAGCAGGAAGCAGGGATTCAAATCTAGATCTTTCTGCCTTTCTAGCCCATGTTCTGTCCGACACACTGTGCCTTCACCCCAACAGTACATGCAAATTGTAGACTGACGTTTGGTCTTTTACTAAAAGATACGAAGTTAGCATATTTGCATGTTATCATGGGTTCAGAACCCCCTCCTCACAATGAGCACTCTATGAACAGGCTGATGGAACAGGACCGTAATGCGGAAGGCTGCGGTCATAGATTTCTCTGTGTGCTGAAAGGCAGCAGAACTCTGCCTGCTTACTTCCCTGCTGTGCCACTGAGAATCTCACGAAGCCTAAATTTCCTCATCTGAACACTACATAATAGGAGTCCTATCTCATTGCATTAAACAGGAAATGCATATGTGCACAGCAAGGGCTCAATAAATATAGATTATTAATAACCCAGAATTATCTTCAAAGTTATATAAATTAATTTGGTTTCTTTGAGAAAAGGCAGAATTATTTTTAAAAGGAAGAGTATATAATTATTACCTGTGTGAATCTATACTTGTTTTCTTATTTTTGCCTTAAATCATTTGTCCCTTTGTCTAGCAATTCCACTGATGAAATTTTAGGTGGAGACCCCTTAAGATTTGTAGGGCAGAGGAATGAAAAGGTGCTGTTTATTGAGTCTGAACCCTCACTCATAGTAGACAAGGCACTTGAATATTACATGAATAAATTGATACCTCATGGATAAGGTTATATTCATCATCTGGTGGGTCCCAGAGGTTTCTTTCTCTTGCCCTGTGTAAAGCTTTTTAGGAAATAAAAGTCTTAAGAGAACATCCTCACAAAACATGTGCTTGGGTTAGAAAAAAATTAAGTTTTGTTTTGTTTCTCCAAACCAGGCTGGCAGTTTTAAAACTAATCAGCTAATGTCTTCTGCATATGACATTGACTATTTCCCTCAAGACAAACCAACTAAGAAAAGTTTGCCACTGAATGGTCTGAAATGGTCCAAAATGGCCTTTGCCATGCCACGTGGAAATCGTGGTCACTGTCTTCAAATCACTTTGAGGCAAGGATTTCCTTATAAACCAAGTATGCTGACTGAGCATTCAGCCTCATGTGATTTCATTCTCTGAACAATTCTTCCTGTTCCTACAGTGAATCAGTTTAAACTTGCCAAAGAGCAAGTGATACGGGTGAGAAGCCAGCAGTTTGGACTCCACATTTATTCTCCAAAAGGATTCTCAAGAGTCAGCAAAGGGCTTTAGTCCCCTCTTTTCTGCACTGCTCCCAGAACATCAGGCCAAATATGAGCATTTTGATCATTTCTCTCTGTCTCTTTATCTCTACCTCTATCTCTCTCTCACACAGATACACCCAGAGTCAAGGCCAACTTGATTTGAAAGCTCTCAGCTATTTAAAATATCAACCAAATGGTGCCTACCTTTCTGAAACTTCAGTCCAAAAGAGATGCCCCTTGACTGTGAAGAGCAGTCAGAGTCAGATTTCCAGTGTTCCAGCCAGCTTCGTTCTCATCAGAGAGCAACACACCTCACCTCTGCGTAAGCTCTGAAATTCTTTCAGAGACCCGCCCTCTAAAGTTGCAAGTCAAGATTTCTGACGGCGTGCGATCAGTGACGTGAGGCAAAGCTACTGGATGGCACCTTCTGGCTCTTCCTGATGAGATGTTGTTTCCTGTTTCAATACTTGGAAAGGAGAAAGGTGGAGTTCAGTCAGGCACGGAATTACCAATATACGAAGTGCCTCGTCGCAGTTGCATTTTGGTACACGCAGTCATTAGTCAATTGCTAAACGGGATGGTCTTGCTGTTGGTATTAAAAGGAAGGGTTTATGCAGCAGAGGGAAATGTGAAACACTGTTGACAGCCCTGCACCATCCCCTCAGCTGGCTTGACAGCTGTAGCACCAGAAGCCGGCCAATACTGGCAGGGCTCTTTGCTACCTAAGTCACCACCACTACCACCAACAGGCCATGAAGCTCATTAACTAAGGAGCAGCAAATCAGTCCACAGAAAAGCAATTTCTCTGTCTCTTTCCTAGCAGTTAAAAAAAAAAAAAAGCTTTTTGGAGCCATATAACAACCAAATAAAATAGCCCAGCCATCTTTTCTTTTTAGAGTTGTCAGATGTAATTCGCTTTGTTTTGTTTTGTTTTGTTTGCTTCAGTCTCAAAGAGCAATCATCACAGACAACGAGACACAAACCTATTAGTAGCAGGATATAAGCCTTGCTTGTCTCTGTCTACGTGAGGCACTTCAATTTCAAAGGCAAGCCTCCCTACATTTCACAGTGTTTTCGTGAGATGTTAGACATTTGGGGGCCATTTTCACTTTCTCTTGCCTGCAGATTTAACAACTCCAGGCGTGGACTACTCAAAGGTGCTTTGACAGGTAAGAAAGCTTCAACAAGTCGATTCATGAAGCCCTGGTGAGCCGAGCCCCGCCTCCCAGGCGGTTCAGGCAGGGCCACCCCCTCTGAAAGCCTGCCTCAAAGCCCTCCTCACCTGCTGGCTCCCACTGCTGGAAGACTTCCTGCTGCTCTTGCCAGCTAACAGATGACAGCAAATTAAAAACTGACTAGACGCAGAGAAGAGGAAATGCCAGTTTCAAATTCTTGAAACTCCAGTTTCTCCAATTTCACTAATGACTTGAGTTCAAAGAGGATTGGTCAAGGCCCTTTCAATTGACGTTTGCTCACTCATCTCTTCCTAGTCTCTTCTTGTCTTCGCAGATTGTCTTTTTCCTATGAAGGGGTTCGTGAGTTTTAAAACTCCTCTGGCAGGAAGGCTGGACTTTCAGCAGAGTGGCAGGCTGTGGGTCAGACCCTCATCATCTCTCGCCAGAAGCCTATGCAGAATTGCCTGATTTTCCTGACTCCAGACTGTCCATTTCATCCTCCTACAATGCCCACCTTAGTTATCTTCCAATTAAAATTTTTGTCTTTATCACATCTCTCTCCCCTGCTGATGAAGCTCTGCCAGCCCCCTTTTTCCTACAGGATTCCCTAGCATGGGGAGACAGCCTGCTCGCAACCTGCCCTTCCAGAAACTCCTCTCGCCCCTTCCCGCTACTTTCCAGGCAAAACGAACAGGCGGCTTCCACGCCCTCCCATTAACTGCTCTCTGCCGTCTCTGCTTGATGAAAGTCTTCCTCCCCTGCCAAGCCCCATCTTCCAGCCTCCCCTGCTCTGTGTTTACACCCATATATTGTAACACTTACTCCATTATTATAACTTACCTGGTTTTGTATCTGCTTCCCCTCTACACTGGGAATCCTGGGATATGCCTAAGACATCTTTATATCCCTGAAGCTTAACGTAGTGCCTTGCTGTTCAATACTTGTTAAACAATTAGCATCCAAACTTTGAACATTTTCACCCCAGCAATACCTGGGAAAGAGAATACTCTTGAATTCTATTCAGGATTCCCTTTCTCAGAATTAAAAAGCCAAAAGAGTATTGCAGAGCCACATTTGCCTTTTAGTCACTTGTATAATTAAATACATGCCACCCCCTGATGAAATACAATGTTCAAATCAAATGTTGAAGTATCGATAGGAAGCTCAATGCCTCCTCTCTAATCAGCAGAATCCCATTATTATATGCTTATTTCTTGAGTCACTGTCAAGGTATATAGTTCTTCCTTCTTCTTCAGGGACAAAAATGAGCCTGTTACACACCCTATGCAACAGAGACAACAGCTAGAGGGATGGAAGTGAGCAATTCTGAAGGTTTGCTAGTTGTGACCTGGGGAAGTTGTATAGCTACATGTAAGCCTAGGGTGTCTAGCATGAGTCCTTGAGGAAGAGAGATAAATACAAAGAGGGTTTTTTCAAGGACTCCTAAGGTAATCCCTTTCTTTATCTCTTTCTCACTTGCGCCTCCTGGTAAATTTATCAGTTTATTACTAACAGAAAAGCAAAAAGCCAGGGAAGCATGATAGAGCAAGATGCACATGTGGGTGTCATTTCTTCTAGGTAACATTTAACTGTTTTATTTTATGAGAAAACTTTAGGAGTGAGGTAAGACACTAAATCTGTTTTTTATTTTGAATCGTCAATAATACATATTAATTCATTTATTAAAATCTTAACAATTCATTGCATTTTAAAAATGCACATCACACCTCCCACAATTAAGTGTAGGCAATAAAGCTTGATGTTAGTGGACAGGTTTCTTGGCGAGCAATAGGGGGTGCATTACAAAACTGATGAGTTTTTGCACACAGAGCAAGTTTGTTACTAAATGGTGCTAAAGTGAACTGGTGTATAATACACCTACTCAGTATATTTCACAGACTATAACAGGGAGGGAGATATGAGCAGTGTGGACCCCAGGCAAACCCAATCAAGATTCTGGAAGGCCACTTAGGAACTCACAAGAGGAGACCAGAGCAAGCAGGATACAGGAAAATGGACTCTGGGCCCCAGCAGGAGGCAGAGAACTAGACATTGTGCCCAAACCTCTGCCTGCCAGGAGCAAAGTGCACACAGCTGCACTGAGTGTAGACATGGAGAAAAAGGAAGTGGGTCAACTTCTGAGATGCTAAGTCACCTGTTACATTTTCAACCAATCCTTAACCTAATTTTCTACAGAAGAAAATCTAAGTTTGAAAAAATTAACTTGCTCTTCCCTCCAAGGAGAGAATCTCTTCCAAGAAACTTTATGAAAACAGTTTTGTCCCATATCAGTTTGCCCAACCTAACCAGTCCATTTTTCTGAGCTTTTAGTATCAACAAACTCTAGTGTCTTGTAACGTTTCATCTTACATTTCCATAGAACTTCCAAATGCAAAGGTTTGCTCACAGACAGAAACGTTAAGTCAAAAAAAAGATCTGCGGGATCTAATGAAACAAGCACATGTCTTCACAGGCACCTTGGCGAACACCTACACCGACTGAATTTGAAGACTATACCTTATTGACACAAAATACAGGTGTACCTCAGCCATGTTGCAGGTTCAGTTCCAGACCCCCACAATAAAGCAAATATTGCATTAAAGTGAGTCAAATGAACTTTTTGGCTTCCCAGGGCATATAAAAGTTGTGCTTACACTATATCGTAGTCTATTAAAGTGTGCAATAGCGTTATGTCTAAAAAAACAATGCACATTATCTTAATTAAAAAATATTTTGTTGCTAAACAACGCTATCACGAGCTTTCAGTGAGTCATATTCACTGATCACAGACCACTATGCAAATATAATAACATCGAAAAAGTCAAAGTATTGAGAGAATTACCAAAATGTGACCCAGAGACATGAAATGGGCAAATGCTGTTGGAAAAATGGCACTGATGGATGTGTTTCACGCATGGTTGTCACAAACCTTCAATTTGTAAAAAATGCAGTATCTGCAAAATGCAACAAAGGGAAATCCAATCAAACAAGGCATGCTTGTAGTCCTCCAGATGAATGCTCACAATGAATTATAGATTATAGGACCTAAACTGCATCTCCCTTAACCTCCACTCACCAGGTTCTACTTTTTCCCTGGCCAGTGTGGCAAGGCTCCCTGGCAGATAATTTGAGAGTCTATTTTGTGAGAAAGTAAGAAAATTGAAGTGCAGACCACCAGTACTAGTGGTTCTCATACACTCCTACATGAGTGCCCTCTCTCCCTAAAACCCCATTCTCTGCTCGACCACCAAAACTGCTACAGACACACGCTCATACGGATTAGCAAGTGTTCACAAACCTATTGTACAGAGTGCAGAGGGAGATCTATGTATGTGTATGCAGTGTGGTTATATTTATATGTTCCACACAGGTACAAATTGAGACCACAGAGGAGATGGACTCTCCAATATTCACTGTTTCATACCCCACATGCATGCAGGCATAAGCCGTGGTTTTAAAGTAAGGAGCTAAGACTACATAGTGTGGCATCAGGAAGCAGACAGAAGTGAGCAGATAAAGTTTTCATTCCCTCCACCAACCAATCCCACGACTGTCCCAGTCTGTGAAGGTAGAACTTGGTAGCTTCAACATCTGTGCTCCCTTTATCCAACACTGTGCTGGGCTAGGTGTAAATATTCCATGTGCTTTGAATGCACTTATGTGAGTAGTAGCAGCACTTACATAGGAAGGAAGAAATAGGAGGTAAGAAGGAGAGGAGTGTTTGAATAAATATCTGGGCTGTCAGTACCATGGCACATGTGACAGGATAATGTAAAAACAAAATGCCCTCATCCACCCAGCCATCATTCATTCCGCATGCGTATCGCATAAGGTCCTTGCAATACAGATGAAGACAATGTCCCCTGACCTCCAGGAGGTCCCTATCCAGCTTTTCCCTCTTTCTCCAGTTCTCCTTCTGCCTCATATCCTATGAGCCATCTGACAATGAAGATTTGCTTGGCTAACCTGAGACATCCAAGAATGGGCCCCTCTCCAGCTTGTGAATTCCTGGGTACAATTTTTCAAAAAGCGGGGTGGAGCTGGACTAAGTTTGGTGATGTCAGTCAACTAAGACTCATTCTCAAGAACAAGATACTCATGCTTCTGCCTTCCTACTGACAAAAGACCTGGTGACTCTGTGGGGGCCTGCAAACACAGACCAGGCTTGCTGTGGATCATGAGCATATGTGGGATTGTGGCTGCTGCACAGGCTCAGTCACTCCTGGGTCATCTCCAGACACTCAGAGGGGAAGTTTTGAACCAAATACACTTCCCCTCATCAGTTGCTTTT